GCCTTGTTGGCAAAGACGAGGATACTAAGACCCATGGCCCGGAGCCTGAACGGAAGAATTTCCGTTGGGTAGAGGAAGAGGAGCGGGTTAAGACAGATATTGAAGGCGGCGTAAAAGATAAAGATGAAGGCAAGCGCAGCCTGGCTGGCAGCAGTGGTTCCGTTTGTGTTGTAGACTGCAATACTGGCCGTGAGCGACGAAAAGGTGAGCCACATGGCAATGCCGCCTCCAACAAACATCCACCGGCGGCCGATCCTGGTTGAAAGCGCCGCCGCGAACAGGGCCGTGACGTAGTTCACGGTGCTGATAACTCCGTTGAGCATGGTCTGTTCGCGTTGGCTGGTGATGCCGATGCTGGTGAAAATCTTTGTCAAGTAGTATGACACCAAACCGTTACCACTCCACTGGCCAAACACGGCGAGAGTAAGGAGAATCAAGAGTCGCTTCCTGTTGGCCGGTGTCTTGAAGAAGAGCTTTGGTCCGACATCCTTGACCTGCTTCTCCAGCTGCAACGCCACCTTCATCTCGTGAAATTCTGCAACGACCAGCGGATCAGACGGGTCTCCTCCCCCGTGATGCTTCACAAGAATGCTAAATGCTTCGTCATCTCGGTCCTTGTAACAAAGCCACCGAGGCGACTCGTCCAGGAACCAGACAAAAACCATCTGGATCACCGCCGGGAGCGCTTGCAACATTGTAGGAAGCCGCCAGGCCCACGACCCGGCGATGCGGTAGCTCCCAAACGTTACCCACCCCGCCGTGAGGGCGCCGAGGTAGAAGCTGGTATTATACAGCGACCCGAATAACACGCGGTGCCTTGGGTGCGCGAGCTCCGAGATGAGTACTGGCGCCGCGGCGAGGGCCATGGTGATGCCGAAGCCGACGACGATGCGGCCGCCGATGAACTGCCCGATGGAGTGGCTGAGGCACTGGATCAGCACACCGATAATCATGATGCTGCTCCCCGTGAGGATGGACCATTTCCGTCCGAAGCGGTCCGAGACGAAGGCGGAAAAGGGGGTCGAGATGATCGCGCCGAGGGGGTACGCGGCGCTGGTGAAGCCGAGGAGGGCGCCTTTGGGGCTTCCGAATTCGCGGTTCCATGCGGCGACGCCTTGGAGGCCTGTCAGGACGGAGCCGTCGTAGCCGTTTGTTGCGCAGACGATGAGGCAGGCTGGGGCGAGGATGCTGTAGAGGCGGATGAGGGATGGTGTGAGGGAGGAGAGTGCGGAGCGGTTGTCTGAGGCTAGGATCTCTTCCACGGTCTGGGCCCGCGGGGGCAGAGACTCGGAGTCCATCTTGTTGGACTTTCAAAGGCCAGTATAGATGAAGATGACTATGAGAAGGACGACTTCTTCACCCGGGCTTCGCAGGACTATTTATGCTGTATGACAGCCATGATCTAACATAGTCGCCAACCAACAGATATATCCAAGTAGGAACATTTCCTCGAGCGAGTGAAATCTAGGCTCGATAAGCTCTACCCGGTAACATACGACATGGCGTCGAACCTGACCCCATGATCTGGTTCTGTTCGAGTCCGACCCCGGATCGGCTCTGCGGGGGAGGGTTCCCCAGGTCTTGGCATTGTTCTCAAGGGACGAGGCTATTCCCCAAAACGGCAAGGGTGTCACGTAGGCGCGGGGGGAGACGGACTGATTCCGTGCCCCTCGTCTTTGGTGGGGTCGTGAGTGTGTCCCGCATGATTACCCATCCCGACACACCGGGAGCTTCACCAGTGCTGCTTGGCTCTGTGCAGCTAATCCTCCCGGGGAGAAACGGACTCAGTCCGATGATGGGCATTACAGAACCCAGCCCAGCATGCGTTGTTCCTAAGTCTCCTGCGTTGGGCATACCCGGAACTTGGCTTACACCCACAAGGAAGTCAATCTTCGGTGCTTATAAATGGGTTCCTACTCGACCTTGGGTGAGAGTGCGTTAAACTCAGTGATTTCTTGGAGGCACGCAAAGAGATCATATCCAACTTCAGTTTCCTCAGTTCCCACGCTCTATTCCTACCTTGACCCCATCACTCACTAGCAACATGTTTGACACTGAGAAACGTGGCCGAGACCATGATGCGTCACGCATCAATATGCCTCAAGGACCCCGAGACGCGAAACCGTTCTCTCAAGCAAAGTTGAAACAAATGACTCTCGAGGAGAAGGTGTTGCTATTGACAGGCGAAGACCTCTGGCGGACGAATCCCATCCCGAGGCTGGGCATCTCCCGAATCAAGACCTCTGATGGCCCTACCGGAGTTCGCGGTGGTATCTTTGTCGACGGAGTTACCGCAGCCTCATTGCCATCTGGGTGAGTAACCGTAGCGACTCCTCTCTTACTTCAAGAATAACTAACAAACATGAAAGGGTGTCGCTGGCTGCTACGTGGGATAAGCAAGTCATCAAGAACGTCTCACAGATCTTGATTGCCGAAGCCAAAAGCAAAAGGGTAGATGTTCTTCTTGGCCCGACAGGTAAGGTCTTGTCTACTGCATGTGGAAGCCTCAAATGCTGATCATAGCCTAACAACTGCATAGTATGCATTCCTCGTACTCCGCTGGGCGGACGTAACTTTGAGGCCTACAGCGAGGATCCTTTCTTGACGGGCAAGCTCGCTGCCGAGTACGTCAACACAATCCAAGCTGCTGGTATTGGAGCCTGCGTCAAGCACTACGCCGCAAACGACCAGGAGAACCGCCGTTTCTTCATAGATGAGAAGATTCCCGAGCGTGCCCTCCGCGAAATCCATCTTCAACCCTTCCAGATTGCAGTCCGCGACAGTAACCCGTGGTCCATCATGACAGCTTACAATAGGATCAATGGCGACTTCTGTTCGGCACACCACTACCTCATCAGAGACGTCCTCCGTGGCGAATGGGGCTGGGACGGCTTGGTGATGAGTGACTGGTTTGGGACGAATAGCATTGTGCCTTCATTGACAGCAGGGTGAGTCTTGAATGAAACGCAACTGACCCTAGCGATGATATGACTAATGGAGAATCAGATTGGATCTGGAAATGCCTGGTCCAGTGAGACGGAGGGGCAAACACCTTCTCGAGGCACATAGCAAAGGCCTGGTTGACACCTCTTTCATTGATGCGTCTGCGGCAAGAGTCCTGGAGCTACTACACAAGACTGGCAAAAGCCAGATACCAGACTGGAAAGAAGAGCCGGAGCGGGCGGTCGATCTCCCTGAGGATCGGAAGATTCTCCGCCGTGCAGGTGCAGAAGGTTCGTGCCCAGTCAAGTGAGATGGCAAAGTGAATTTGACTGACGAAAAATGCAGGCATTGTTCTCCTGAAGAACGACAAGTCGACTCTTCCCCTCACAGATCTCGGTGGCAAGACGATCGCTTTCATCGGCCCCAACGCTGCGAGATCGGTGGCCACGGGAGGCGGCAGCTCGAACCTTGCGCCTCATTACCGGACCACGCCTTTCGCATCTTTTCAAAGGGAGCTCTCTGAGGCGTTTCCGACAGCCAAGGTTGCGACTGAATCCGGAATCCTTACCCATCGATACCTCCCTCTCATGGACTCTACTGTCATGCAGAACCCGGAAACCAACAGTCCTGGATTCGTTCTATCACTTTGGAGAAACATGAAGCACGAAGGCAACCCGTTCATGGTGGAGCACCGGCCGAGCTCGAACCTGGTTTGCTACGATGGGCTCCCTCCTGAGCTGACGACCGGAGAGCGATATTCCTACCGTGCCAGGACGATACTCACGCCAAAGACGAGTGGACTTCATCAGCTATCCCTCTCGAGCTGTGGCCCCGGCAAGCTTATCCTTGACGGAAAGGTCATCATTGATATCGAGCGGAGATGGTGGTCACCCAAGTCGTCACTCTTCATGAGCTACGGCTCGCCCGAGGAGCGAGTCGACGTCACCCTCGAAGCTGGCCGATCATATGAGCTTGTGCTTGAGTCGATTAGCCGTGAACATAAGCCGTACGATTTGACCTACATGGGCATGTTGGAGCGCGAGGAAGTCCAAGATGGCGGCCGCATCGGGTTCTTAGAGAACCCTGGAGACCTTGACGCAATGTTCCAGGACGCCATCGAGCTTGCTAGGACGAGTGATGTTGCTGTCGTCGTTGTAGGAAAGGACCAGGACTGGGAGACGGAGACAAGCGACATGGTGTCCATGGACTTGCCCGGCCGGTCCAACGAGCTGATCTCCGCCGTGGCCAGAGCGAACCCCAATATCATCGTGGTAAATCAAACAGGCAGCCCGATCACAATGCCTTGGATTGACGAGGTTTCGGCTGTCGTGCAAGCTTGGTACCAGGGTCAAGAGCTGGGCAACAGCCTGGCGGACGTCCTCCTCGGCGCGGCCAACCCGTGTGGGAAGCTACCAATCACATTCCCGCGCCGTATTGAGGATACGCCATCTTTTGACAACTATCCCGGTGAGAACGACGTAGTTCACTACGGAGAGGGTGTCTATCTCGGGTACAAGTACTACGACCATCGCAAGATCGAACCACTGTTCCCATTCGGGGTTGGTCTTTCCTACACCACGTTTGAGTACTTCAACCTAAGACTGAGCACCGACGTACTAGACGAGGCCGGAAGGATTGAAGTCGAGGTCGATGTGACGAACACGGGCAAACGCGAAGGCAAAGAGATTGTACAATTCTACGTCAGTCCTGTGTCGAAGCCTCGACTGGGCCGCCCGCTCAAGGAGCTCAAGGGCTGGGATAAGGTCCTTGTGCGGCCTGGAGAGACGGTGACCGCTCGGACGACGCTCGACAAGGTGAGCATATCGTACTGGGATGATAGCGTTCAAAAGTGGGTGGTGGAGGGCAACGCGGAGTTCAGGGTGAGCGCAGCGAGGGATTCTAGGGAGGAAGGGCTGGGGGCGGGATTCCGGTCGGCGAATGCTTTTCAGTGGGTTCATTGAGTTGAGGTCACGCGTCGGACAAACCGTAGTTATTGGAACTCATGTCACGTTTGCTACGGTCATCTCTGCTGTGGATAATTCGTGTGTCTACCTTGGTCAAGACAGCATGCGAAGAATCTCGCAGTCCCTGGCAATGGTGGGCGAAAACTGAGACGCCGCGGCGGCTGCTATTTCTCGGGCCTGATGAGTGATTTCCCAGCCCTCCGGCAGCAGGATTGCGGCTAGCTCTTCGTTACGCAGAATGAAACTGATCTGGATTTCGATTCCGAAAAGACTATGAAGCGTATCAGCCAGTTCATCATAGGTTGTCAAGAGGAATGGACTGCTTGCTCACGTTCTCCATGAGTTGATGGGGAAGAGAAGGAGCCCGAATGGCTCCTGGAAAATCCCACCATGCCAGACCCCAATGATGGCAGAGGAAACCGCTACCTTGGCGCCTAGGATGTCATCGTCGGAAAGAGCGGAAATTGCTGAGGCATGTAGACATCGATGCACGTGAGAGCGGTAGAGTATCGTCTTTGCTGCACAATAGCGCGCCTTGAGGTGTCCTCTCAACCTTTGTCGCATTGGTCTGACTGAACGTGAGGAAAGGAGTCCGACTTCTTCAACAAGCGGGAATGTTTCGAATTGGAGCGCCACTGGTAGACACGCTTTCCACTCCTCGATTTGGCGGCTCAGTTCACCCAAGATGGAGTGAGATGGGGACTGAACTCTTTCTACAGTTGAATCAGCATTCGCGACGCTTCTCGCGCAGACTATGATGGCTCTTTTACCTTTGTTGTACAAGTGGAAGTGTATCCGGTTCAAGAGCCTCCTCATAGCAACAAGTGCCAAGAAGTAGAACTGGGTGTCTTTGCCCTGAGAGTCTGCGCCAGAGTCGGGGAGTAGCGGCAAAGGTACTGCACTTTCGAGACTGCTCAGGCCGCTGGGCGGGAAGTCGTACTCGACAAGGATTTGGCTGTCAGTCAATTAGCACGCAGGCATTCATGGGCAAGGATTGAAAGTCTCGATACCTTTCTTGCAGATAAGCAATCCAGTATAGCTGGCAGTGGTGGGCTTCTAGTTTCCCCTGCCTGATGCCAACCTGTCAGCGAATCTCGCATCCTCGCTGACAATCTACAAATCACCGGACATACAGCGGCAGTAAGATCATAATCAGAGAGCATGCTTTGTGAATGAAACGCCAGGAGTCATGGATCCTCAAGACCGACGAGTTGTAAAGGCTGTTGAGCAAAATTAGCGTCCGACCTGCCTCCCTACAGAGATCCAAGCTGTACTTACGCCATGAGCAAAAGACACTGGATGCTCACCCAGTCGGTTTCCTCAACATCTCGGAACATATCACACGCAATGGTGAAGAGACCGAGGCCAGCCTCGTGCTCTAGTATGGCATCCGCGGAATCGGACTGGGCCCATTCTGTTTTGCCAGTCTGACAAGCAGCTACAGAGCCAAGGGAGAGGACGAGTGCTACTAGACAGCTATCAAGGCTGCTAGCAAATCCTACCCTTAGAGCTTGATTGAGATGATGGCTATAGAACCGGTCTTCGTCTAACACAAGGTATTGCGGGTGGAAGTGGCTAAAGTAAGCGTCGGCTAGGTCACGCAACTGCGCCAGCGACAGGTTGGACAGCCAACCATCATCTCGCGAAGAAGTACCAGCAAGACATCGTGGGGGTGCTCTCGTTCTGCGTATCTTGGGTCGCTGGATCTCCAACGCGACTGGGTATCGTAGATCAAGCTCCGTCAAAGTGAGGGGAGAACAAGGCCAGGAGAGAAGATGCTGTGGTGCCGTGTAGTGCTTTTCCGGGATGGCGAGTTCTTGGCGGATCTGAACCGACCCTAGCTTGGAAGGCGAGAATACACTCATTGGGCTGACCGCTTCCATCGGGTCAGGGTTCTCGACTGACGTGTTGTGATGGTTCTGTGGGCGTGACTGGCCATCTGATGTGAATCGAGAGTCGTGAGCATTCTTCACGAGAGCGTCCAGCTTAGCTTCCATCCGCTTCAGTGTGTCATTCAATTCTGTGACAGACAGATTCTTCCTTTGCGAAAGTCAGTCGACGGAAACACTTCACTAAGGCAAGCGTTCTGCATTACTTTGATGTGACGGTTTCGATATATGCACATTGCAGCCCCAACCTTCTACATCGCCCGCAAAAAGGCTTGGCTTCATCACATTTCGTCTTTCTCTCACGACACGGGGCGCAGACCTTGTGAGATTGTTAGCAACGCCCAACCTTTCCTGATGTCAATGCTCACATTGAGCGCTTGTCGACGTGGTGCGTTGCTCGGGGGCTGATTTCGTGTAATCTCAGAGTCCATTTTATTTCGCTGCAATCGTCATTGGAGGGATGGTAGTGCGGGCTTGGAGGTCTTGGGGTCATTGCTGCTTAAATGCAGGCTGAGGGGTCTGCCAAGGCGCCACAAAGGGCGCTGGTCAAGCCCCGAAACGAGCGGAACACATCGGCTCTGCCAAAAGACACGACAGACACAATAAAAGCTACAACGAGGTTAAGTACCTGTGGAAGCGTATCGAAGTATCAAAAAGTGTTACTCGTTTATCACAAATTAGCAGACGTGCCAGTTCACTCTTCACTGAGCCGGCAACCTCATGGTGAGAGATGAAAAATAGAAGATTCCATTAGCTAAGCTGTTCCAGGACCCACCCGGCGCCGGAAGTCCCACATGCCCCGTGCCGGATTGCCGAAGCCGCCGGCGAAAACGAGATCGTAATATATGCGTTGTATCCTTATTCACATTGTTTGAATATCTACAGAGAATGGTCTCTTAGTTTATGCCGGGCATCCGCTGGCGGGGAAGTTGCAGCTGCTGGTCTTGCCGCCTCCAGTGATCTTGGTGTTCTCAAAGGTGATGTCAGAGCAGCTGCCGTCACCGCAGAGGATGTAGTAGTTGTAGGCGTCGCTAGTGGCAGTTCCAGTTACATCGATGAAGTGAATTCCAGAAATCTTGACTCCGTTGGTGGGTGAGCCAGTCGGGCCACCATTGAGGTAGTCCTGCTGGACATCAATACCGTAGGTGTCGATATCGGTGAGGGTGATGTTCTTGTACGTGACGTTGCTGACCTCGCCAGTGGTGTCGGAGTTGGACTTGATACGGCAGCCGTTGGAGCTCTTGACGACCTGGGAGTTGGAAAAGACAACACCGTCAACGGTGTTGTTGCTCTTACCGCCGATGGAGCCGATGCTGAGGCCGTGACCTCCGTAGCAGTAGAGGTTGTTGACAGTGATCTTGGTTCCACTGGTGACGGCGACGCAGTCGTCCTGGTTGTGGACCTTGATGTTCTCGAGCAGGACGTTGTCGCTGGAGGAGATGTCGAAGCCGTCACTGTTGTGCGCAGCGGCCTTGCTGCCGCTCTTGGAGTTGGGCGCGTCACCGGCAGAGTTGTCGAGGACAAGGCCGGAGACGGTGAGACCCTGGTTGCCGGTCATAGAGAAGCAGTGGACGGGCCAGTTCTTGATGTTCAGGTTGGTGATCTTGGCGTTGGTGGTCTTCTTGACGACAACGAAGTGGTTAGGCCTAATTTCACAGGTTAGCTTGAACTCTTCGTTTGCCTTAAGGAGGTAGCCACTCACTTGTCGCCACCACCGTTGGATCCAAGACCGTCCCAGTAAGCAGCACCATTGCCCTCGATCACATGTCCGGGAGCGCCAGTAACAACAATGTTGGTTCCGGAGATGATGATGGGGTCGAAGCTGCTATCGACGGTATCGGCAAAAGTCTGAGCGCGGAGTTAGTACCCAATTTTTCGTCCAGTCGCAAGCCGGAAAAAGAAACGTACGGTTGTGCCGTCGAAGGTGACCTTGGTACCCGTCTGAAGCTTGGAGAGATCGATAGCACCGTTGGAGGGCGCAGCAATGTTAGAGAGCGTGATGTCGGTGCATGTCTTGACAGCGTTCGCAATGTCGTCGTACTTGGTGACAACGCAGCCGGTCTAAAGTGGGCGAGAAACGGGTCAGTCAGATTGCCGGGTCTTGGCGCGCATCGGATGGGTCAAGTCGTGGATCGCATAGGGCTGACTTACGGCGTTGCTTGCGCGAGGAATGGTGTTTGTGTAACGAATGTGAGATCCGTGGTGGCCACGAGGAGAGGCCGCTACCAGAACGACGTTCAGCAGAGCCGCAGCAGGGGCGAAAAACTTGGCCATCTTGGCGTGGAGAAAAGAGAATGACGGTAGTGAATCGAACAAGAAAGTGAGTGGTGGTGAGAATCGGAGACTGGCTGGGGGAACAAACGCCAAGTAGGGTGCCAAGGTAATGTGTTATATATCTTCCAGATCCAGTCTTGGCGACCGCAACAGAAGAAGAACATGGCCTCACTGATTGGAGGACATTTGTAGACCCTCATCCGTCCGAACGGGTGAACAGCACATTTTGGGAATGACTGGCATGCCTGGTAACGCGGCTCAGTGGATATTGCAGGGCTTTGTTCGGTTGGATCCATTCGGAATCAACGGGCTCTGTCGATATGACTTGAAATGGCCAACATCATCTGTCTAGGTTTCTTTAGTGCGTCGGCCGTTGCACCGATCAGGCGCTTGTTCTTGAGCAAGAAGGATTTTGTGGGGATCAAGGCCTACATCTTTCTAATGACAGCGTTTCATGTCAATCAGGAACATGACATCGACCAACGAGCGTTGTGAGAGTCCGAGTTGATATGCGGGTGAAGTTGCTATCTTCTGCCCAGTTGAGGCGCACCACCCCTTATTCTCTCCCGTCTCCACCGACTAATCTCTTTGAGTCAGGGGCGCGTCGAACCAACCGGTCTAGAGCCCGAAAGCAGGGACCCCCATCGAATTCCACGAATCTGCAATCAATGTGACACTCGCTACAGATGTTGGAGCCGGGATGTGGGACAGGCGCTGTTGAAGCCTCAGTTGCCAGTTGAGATGTTGTAATTCATCAATAAGCGCAGTCTCAGCAAGTCATGTTTGCAATGACGAATTCTGGTCATCTAAAAAAGTTTTACGCCAAAGTCTGAAGGTTCAAGATGCATGGCACTTGAGAGGTATCGGGACGTTTAACGTCCGACATCTTTGCAAGACGATTGGCCTGAATCAAGCATTGACTTCCCAGCTGGATACGCGCACCACCTCAGCTTCGTCCCGTCATGGTCTCTGCGTTTGGGGGCAACGCTCTTTTCGTTTCGTTTCTCCGGGAAGTCTAACGATCCGTTCTTCTCGATGGTGGACAATGGTTAAGCGAGGGACTACTTTGCCGAATGCTCAGCCGAACGATGCTTATGATGCGCCTGGCAATTAAATGCGAAGAGTTTGAAAGTTTCCTTCTCAAGACTAGAAGAATTAGTCGCGAGAGAAATATCAGTCAGCAATCATCCGAAACATGTGCAGATGAACATTAGTTTTGCAGATGAGAGCAGATGAAAAGGATGAATGACGTAAATTGATCTCAGTGACACATCTCTACCCCGCAGGTAGAAGAATGTCGACACTCTGAGGCAGAATTGCCTCGGATTGAGGGTATATTCTGCCGGCAGAAATTTTGACTTTAGAGTTAGGGGCACGAAGTTTGCATGAACTCTACTCTTATTGAAAACAAAGGGCATAACACAGGCCATGTGTCTATAGTAAGTGTAGTATAATTGACTTTGTCTACCTATTGCGGAGAAGCTCCTTTCGGGAAGCTTTGGCCAAACAACAGGAGCTTAGACTTTTGCTTCTTGCATCTCTCAATCTTGAACTGCATTGGTGAGTATGAGATAAGTTAGCCATGACTCAACAGAAAACGGCAAGTTGGTTGTCGGCACAATTTACAAGTCGTTCGACGAGGTTGGTGTTGTGCCTTGATCTGTAATCAGTTGCTGATTCTTTTACATTATCATCGTTCATCGATATGTCTAGTACTTACACGAACAACAAATGTCCCGACAATTTGCTTTTCGTGCTGAATTCATGATGTTTGGTATCACGTGCCGCAAAGTCAAGGGAGAGTTCATGAAAACACCGGGAAGCATCACTCTGAGCAAGTCAGAACTCAGTCAGAAAAGTTTCCTTGAGCCTCACTAATGCCTGCTAACAGAGACATTTCTCTTGGGATACTGATGGAGCTTTCTTGACAAACTCTGTATTATCGGTGTCCACCGAGCAGCGATGATGAGTTACATAGAAAGTTTCGAGACCTAGTTCATGTCCATAAGTGAGGTCCAGCAGAGGATGCACATGAAATCTTCTTTTTGCATCGAAGAGACATCCTTCGTGGAAGAATTGCGAACTAAAGACATTTCCCATCTGAGCAATGCTCAGCCGCTTCAATTGATCTCAATGCCAACTTTGCCTTGGTGTTTTCCTGACTGAAGATACTCGTACGCGTCCTTCAGTTGTTCCAGATTGAAGACCTTGGGATCAATGACAGGGCGCAGCTTGTCTACGTCGGCCTCGATGGCCCGACACATCTCTTCAAGCTGTAGCCGACTGCCACACCAGACTCCTCGGACGGTAACTAGGCTCAGCCACGAATCCAAAAATGTTGGCATGTCATGCTCAGACGGATTACCGCCGGCAAACCCTGTGGTGATGATTGTTCCGTCTAGTCTGCAACTGACAAGACTCTGTCTTAAAGTCGTTGGTCCCGCAACTTCGACGACCAAGTCCACGCCAACACCCCCGGTCAGTCTTTTGGCCTCTTTTCCCCAATCGATCGTCTCATGATAGTTGATGATATGGTCAACACCGAGCTTCTCGAGAAGTATGGCCTTCTCGGCGGAGCTAGTGGTGGCAATGACCCTCGCTCCGACGGCTTTGGCGAACTGAATGGCGAAAATGCTGACCCCGCCCGTGCCCTGCGTGAGAACCCATTGCCCAGCCGAGACTTGCTTTCCTGGCAGTCCAAAGAGGGCGTTCCAAGCAGTAACGCCAGCACAAGTCAGGGCTGCGCCTTCGATGAAGCTCAAGCCCCGAGGCAGCGGGATCAGTCCTTGCTCGCTGAAGACTCCGATGGTGCGAAAAGTGCCATCGAGTACGGCACCAAGTCCAGACTTTGGAAGGTCGTCGCTCAGTGGACCTGCGATATACCTCTGAGCAAGTGCTGTAACCACTTTATCGCCTGGTTTGAATCGGGTAACATGCTTTCCGACAGCTAGGACTGTGCCTGCCCCGTCAGACCCAGGAACAACGTCCGCTTTGACGTCCCAAGGGTATCTGCCCTCAGTAATTGTGAGATCTCGGTACTGTCCGCAAGCTCAATCAACTGAAATCTACATCAAACGAGGTTGAAAACTCACGTTCAGGGTGGCGCCTTGTACTACGAGCAGACGTTAGTATGACGCGTACGTAGAGGTTATCGGGGATAAAATGGTAAACGAACTTTTGACTAGGACCTGGCTATCGCCAACCTCTGGAGACTTCTCATCCGAAATTTGTAGAGAATCCAAGCCATTTTCACCGATAACCTTCCATTGCCTGCTTATTCTAGGGATGGCTTGCGTCATGGTATCTAGGTGTCTTCGTTGGATCGATGTAATCTCACTGTCGAGAGGTGAAACTCCATGAAAGTGCTTTTTCATATATTCTTTCCGGCGAATATTTCTGAAAGACCAATACTCTTGGCTTGAACATTATTCTAGTCAGCTTATATCCCTCCAAATGCGGCCTGACGTCGGTGCATAGATACGTACTACGTAGGAGGGGTGATAACAAATCACACATCATTCCACGACATTCCGTTGAAATTCCGTCTTACTGTCCTCTAATGTATCTAATCAAGAAAGTTGGAAAAGAGGTCAACGTTAGAGAAAGTTAGAGACCTGCGTACCGACGTCATGCCGCACTCGATGGATCAACAGCTAGATCACAGTAATCATGGCAAGCAGATCTAACCATGACAAATGATATTCATATGATGAGCTAACTTATCCGATTCATAAGCACTAAGGGACTTTGGCGCCGCGGCTTTGATGCTTACAATTGTAGCAAGACAATATAACGTTATATAAAATTGCGTAATTGTATAGCACGATCTCAAGAGAGTTGGTATAGTTTGAACTACCTCTTTGCGTGCTGGCTGTCTCGAAGAGATCGTCTCCATCGATTCTGTTCATACTGCAGGACTACTAGCAAAGGTATTGTGAATGTTACAACCTTTCCATTTACAAGCGCATAGCCAGCCCCTCGGAAATGGAATGCTGCGAAACGCCATACCGGCCTGTCTGAAAACTCCAAGTCAGGTTGCCAGTGCAGATGTATTTACACCCATCAATGAAGGCCTTGATGTTGGACGCTAACGTCTCATCATCGGCGAACTTAGCCATCAGGCACGCAGCAGCATGGTTGAATTCAGTGATAGCTTTTCCGATCGTTTCGATAACCACGGAGACTGCAACGTTAAGACTCTCCGTTTCTCTGAAGAGCAAGGGGACAATGCTCTCGATAATTTGCTGTGCCTTCGCGCTAAGAGTTAGCAAACATGCCGCTATGAAAAGAAAAGAGAAAACCCGTTGACGATGGCTTACAACCTCTTTCTAAGAGAGAGGAGGTCATCGACGCTGGTTGTCTCCGTCAGTGTTCTGATATACACGCGAAGGGACGAGTACTTAGGCCACCCACGCCCATACGAGAATGTTCGCCTGGTCCCATGACGTCCTCATTTCCACTTCTCTGCGGACTTCGATCGGGAAAGAGACTCCGCAGGCATATCGTAAGGTCAGTGTATGCAATATTATACCGAAGCAGATGTATTCGGACATGCATACTCAATGAAGAACAAGCACACGTTGACTGCGCTTGTTCCCATCCGGGTTGCAATATATTCTTACGTAGACGGGAGCTCGGGGCTAAGTCGACGCTGTTGTTCTGTTTCAGAAGTCTCTACGAAGAACTTGATTTCATCGAAAAGAATTGCTCGGTGATCTGATTGATGCACAATAGGTCAGATACAGCAACGACTTGATCTGGTAGAATTTGGTGCTGGTAGAGGTTCGACCAAAGACTTACCGTGGTCATAAGCCTCGCATACTGCATCGCCAATCATCTTGAGAAAGGTGATGATATGATTCGTCGGGATTTCATTGAAGGCCTCATCATCGGACAGACGAAGGCATTGTCGCACGTATTCGAGGGTTTCTCGCCGGAAAACTTCTGCGGCTCGAAGATTGTCATATAGATGGCCCCCCTTTTCATCGATTTCTGGTGGGGGTTAGCCGGAAATCCCGCATTAGTCATCTAATACACTCACGGTCATTCCATGTGAATAGCTGGAATACTGAGCAGGAGTTCACATAATTGCGTACAACTTGGGTTGGAATTAGAGCGAATGCACCCAAAGGACTACGCAACACAGAATGTCTCCACGTTCCAGGTTCACTCTCGGGTACCAGGTTGATATGAACAGGCCTACGTCGATTTTTGACATTGAATCTCGGCTCTTGGGCAACTCAGTGAAGCTCAAGAAAGCCTAGTTAGCTGACCATGCTGCTAAAGACTTGAGGGCTCTATCCCAATGTTGTACCTTGCAGTCCGCTCGCCCGAAAGAATCCGCAGGCGTTCCAGGCAAGAGCTTGCGTCTTTTGGCCATTGTTTGAAAAACAAGCTGAGATCTGGAATACGAAAATCTTGACCCTCGAGCTGATGAAAAAGGGTCTGACGGACGTCGAGGCAAGCCATTTTCGATGCTCTCGTTGATCGATACACAATAGTGTGTTCAGGAGATGAGGAATGCGAGATTAATCTCCTTATCCTTGAAGAACTGTACATAACAGCCAGCCATATATATACTTGTCCAACCACGACTAAGATGCTCATGAACCTTCACCTGGGTGGATTGCGGAGATCCTTCCTGCTCCTTTCTTTGACGGGATGCCTCAATTATTGGATGTCCTACTTTTTCGCAGTTAGAAGATAGAACTTGATTAGAAAATAAAGCCAAGGGTGGGAAAGGCGTCATTAGCATATTTCGGGGCCATTACCCCTGGAGCTCGGCGATTCCATGAGAAAGACAGGGTTCTAACCAAACTGAGAAGGGTCTTGTCTGTTCATTTTTGGCGCCGTAAATCTAGAGAAAACTGATATTGATATGTTTCTGTCCTTATCAGCAGCCGCTTGGCGCAATGAAGCAATTCGATTCGCTGTACAATACACTTCTCGGAGGTTCCAACACGTAAAACCTGCCTGAACCTCGAAGTACCTAGATGCCAAGCTGATGAAACTTCACATGCTGTTGGTTTGCGATTCAACTCTTACTGTGCATGTTGACTGCATAAAGGCCGCAATCAGTGTAACTCCGAGCTCCGGATTTGTTGGAGACCCAGTACCCTGCGGATGGTGTCGTCAGCGTAGCGGCAAGGACTACGCTAGACTGGTGTATCCGAACCCTTGTGTCAACTTCGCCTTGGCATCGTATCTTAGGTCCTTGCACTATAGACGAAAGAGGTAAATGCTCGATTACGCTGAAGTCGCCATGGGTCAAGATTGAGGGCCGAAGCGTTGCCATTCCTGGCATTGCCTCAACCGTGCTTGATCGGTTTGGGGCGTAAGCACACACACACACACACACATCGTAATCCTCGTTGACCTCTTGCTAGGCCCATTGTTACTCCTCTTGGCCAGTCGGTACCAATCAAACAAATCTTATCTTTGGCACTTACGGAGCAGCATCTCGGAGTCCATAATCCTCAAGAAGTAATGTTGCTCATCCGGGATAGTTTGGTAGCTGTGCCGTAGTGTAATGATGTCGAGCTGATCTATCAAGTGCAGGGGATTTGCATGAAATATACAGCAAAATATCTGGCAGCTAACCAACGAAGGAGTGGCCAAGCGGTGCGGCCGTCTTGGGATGGTTGGGATTGTCTAGAATCATGCCAGGGCATCATGAGAGACAAGGCGGTGCTCAACAGCCCGATGCTGGCAACATTCAGGTCGGTCGCAGCTACGTCGACTTTGGTCTGATAAAAACTATGTCTAGAAAGCTGACATCGGGGACATCAGTTTCCCGCTTAAGAGTTAGGAGGGAAAACCTAGGAAAGTTAGACATCCTACCAGCAGCAACATTAAAGTACTTTAAAGTCCCTCTCCTTCGCCAGCTTGACGTTGAGTTCGCTACTCTACATGTATTCAGACACACCTATTGACCATGGGTATCTTAGTGAACGACACTATCCTCAGACTGTTCTTGGGCAACCTTTTTACATGTACCATCCCCCTAGGACTCCTTTTTCTCTATTTCATCTCTCTAGGGACTTACAACATCACGTTCCATCCCCTCGCAAAGTTCCCTGGTCCCAAACTGACAGCATTCACTGGCTGGCATGAGACGTACCACGAACTCTTTGGTGCACCTGGCAAGACTTTCGGCAACAAGATCCAAAAGATGCATGAGGACTATGGTCCTATCGTACGTATAAACCCTCACGAACTTCACGTCAGTGACCACGGATTTTTCGACGTTCTATTTGCGGGAGGGAGCGCTCGCCGTGACAAGTATCCGCCGAGTGCTAGTGTCCAGGGCGCTCCTGGTGGTATTTTTGGTACCTTGAACCACGATGCTCATCGAATGCGCCGATCTGCCATATCCGGCTTCTTCTCCAAGCAGTCTGTGGTTGTCCACGAAGGACTCATTCACGAAAAGGTTGAACAGCCCTGCGAAGTTTTCAAGACTTACGCCACAGAGGGCAATCCCTTCGATATTCACGTCCCGCTCTTGGCTTATGCTATCGAGTCCTACTGCGCCCATGCGCTTGGCGAGACAGGTGACATGCACTTATTAAAAGACCAGGCAAAGGTACAGAAGTGGAGAAAAAGCATCATTGGTCTTCTTCATTTCAACCCTATTGTTAGACAGTTCCCATGGTTTCTATCATTCGCGTTTGAACTTCTAATGTGGCTTATTCGACCGGTATCGTCAGATTTGGCTTTAGTAACCCGAGTTTTACTGGTAAGTCAATAACTTGTGCAGTCATTAAATAATTTTAACAGGTCTAAAACTCTGGTAGGTCATGGAAGACCAAGCCAAAGAGGCCATCAAGTCTCGTCAGCCTCCGTCGGTAGGGAAGACAATGGCAGCCTGATGCAAGCGATTCTTACTTCGAACTTGCCTCAGGGCGAGAAGGGCTTCAAGCGAATGGCCCAAGAGAGCTTCACTGTCTTGACAGCTTCGGGAGATACGATCGGCAGAACTCCGACCACTGCTGTATACCACCTGCTCTCAGATCCAAACCAACTTGCCAAGTTGAAGGAAGAGCTGAGGGCCGTGATGCCAGACTCCAGTATGGATGTGCCGCTGAGGAAGCTCGAAAGCTTGCCGTGGATTGTGAGTGCATCAACTTGATGTGAGTTATTTATCTTTGATCCAAGGTCAATTCGCTAATGTCGACGCGCTGATAAGACCGCTGTCATCAAAGAGTCACTTCGGATCTCTACGCTTGTTACTATGAAAGTTGTGCTGCAAGCACCTACCGAATGTCTCGCATACCAAGATTGGGTCATCCCCACAAACGTAAGATCAATCATGAATTGTTCAGGTGATTTGTTCCCAAGTCACCCCGTCAGCGTTGGTCAAATGCTTGCTGGTCTATCTGGACCGGAAGACGCCAATCGGCATGACATTCGCCGATCTGATGATGGACCCCGAGGCCTTTCCAGACCCTAGAAGGTTCGATCCCGAGCGGTGGCTCGAGTCTCACCCTCTTTATGCCCAGAACACGAAATGCTTCTTCCCTTTTGGGCGCGGACACCGCAATTGCATTGGACTCAAGTACGTCAATTCCTCACCGCAACAGCAGATTCAAGAAGACATGTACTGACTGCCATGCGCCGCCAAGTCTTGCTCGGGCAGAGATGTATGTTGCACTTGCAAAAATAATGAGTCGAATTGATATGGAATTATACGATGTCATCAGGGAAAGGGATGTTGACCACTATCGTGACTGCTTCCTGGGCGAGCCTCGAGATGATACGAAAGGCGTTCGGGTCAAGATTCTTCGTCTTTTGGACTAGATGTGACAGGGTACCTAGTAATGATCGGCGCAAGGTGGGTGCGCTTCGGGTCGAATGTGCATGGTCAGCCGGGAGAGTCGAGAAGAGCCGTTGTGGATGGGGTCTGTTCACACTCTGTAGTTGCACGTCCTTCTCCATTCCAAGTGTCACTGTCTCATAGAAAGCTCAATGCTATGCCAATTGTTGTCAAAGTGTGGTCATGGTGTCTCAACTCTAGCCGAGCAGTAGAACGGCAGCTCTCTGTTTCATCGTAATCGTTGCTTTACCTGAGTTGAAAGCAATACGAACAGTTCCTCCGTAGTGTCTATCTCCCGATCAATCTCAAGAGATGCCTTCCTCTCGCAGCTTTTATCTTTTGAGAGCGCAATGCAGAATTTGAGCTGATGATAAATACTATCAAGTCGGTCAGCAAAGTATGAAATGCTCCCATAACGACTGCATGGCATTGAGTGAACGACAAAATGATTTGCTGTTCGACCACCCCCACACCCCCAGGTATTTCTTGTCTTCGCGTTAATCCCTATCATTAGTACTTCTCGAGGCCAGCTTTTGCCTCAAAATATTCTTACTGTAATACCGAGGTGTTGTCAAAGAAGCATGAGGGGACTCTGGATGTATTGCTGACGAGTTATTGTGCCATCCACTTCAATTTGCGGAAGTAGTCATTTCGAAATCGGTCGATGAACCCGGATGGAATTTTCCTCGACATCAAGGTCCCTAGAACTTGGTGGAAACAGCCTGACGCCAGAAAAAGAGCAGAGAGAACCAAACAGCCAACACTTCTTTCTAGAACAAAAAAAATATTCCACTCCATTCAACTTTCTGCACAGCTTTCATTAGAAACTCCACGGCAAAACCTGTCATCTTCCTCGGCGTTATTCCCAGAAGACTTCGGACGCATCGTATTACACCTGCCCCGCGTGTCTCGAAAACTCAAATCTACACCTTTGCGCCACTGCGACCGCTGGGTCTTCAACTGCAATACGACTCCCCTTGATCATGGCAACAATTCCAAGACCTGTCTTTATCTATGGTACCGTATGTGCTCGACCACTGCTCGCCTGGGTTCTGACTGGTGACGCTACTCAAGTCGAGGAGGTATCGGCCCTCGTTCGGTCCGCGAAAGTGGAAAACGTCGCACGTTACTCTTTACATGGCTGTGATTATCTAGCCGCCATCAGAGAACATGGTTCATCCATAAATGGACTTCTAATACAGCCTCAATCGCTCTCACAACGGAAGAAGCTTGACGATTTTGAAGGCGAAGTTTACCAAACCAATCTAGTTCAAGCCATGGTGTTGAGTTATGGTGGCGAAACGGTCGAGAGCTTAATCGAAGCGGATATATACCTATGGAATGGTGATAAAGATTTGGTTCTGATCAGTCTTGGGACTTGGAATGGTTCCTACAAGAAAGACTGGAGGACTGGATTGAGCTTTTTGCGGGAATGGAGATGGTGGGGGATGGTGACGATTGAGGCGTAGGCAACAAGCATCTTGGAAGCACCGTGGCCCTGAACACAACTCCAAACTTACAAAGCTGTAGTTAGCTTTCCTCCAAGCATCGAATTAATGGCTCGACCGACGGGACAATACAACGAAAACCAACGTTCAGATCTCCCATGTATCCCCGCCAATCAAAGCCAGCGAGTAAACTGAACATCACTGTGAGTAAAACTTGAGTCCTTTAAAGCGTCCTTACCGGAATCCGGGGGACGCCGCTCGGCACGGACAACGCAGAGCACGGGCCGGAGCCCATAAATAGTCATAGGGTCTAGTCCGTCAGGCGCTGCACAGAGGAAGTCTAACCTTACTCGGTTCATCTCAGGTGGGCGCTGACTGAAGTGTCTTGCTTTTGCGTTCTTCAGCAGACTTTGAAGAATTACATCGATGGATTCTTCAACTTCTTCAACTTCTTCAACTTTTCGCTAAGCTTTTGACTTCTCTGATGATGGGCTGAGAAATACATGTTTGTGGTCTGATTCTCCATGGCACCTGAGCGATTTCAATGCTCTCCTTGCTTCAGGCCAGGCTCCAAGAGTATGGGGGATCTCTCAGAATGTAACCCAGGATTGGCCAGCGGCAAGTTAAGCCTATCGAGCAAGCACTGTTGCGATCCTTGGATCATCGATATTGTCGCTTTCGGGTCATAAACTGTGGCGCAATTGGTCCGGGTCATATCGGCTGTGATCTCTCCCGCACCTTCTGGTCGCAGATACTCGACCCTCTGAACTCCTGGAGCTCCTTTTCGACCCGTCGACAGCTCAGTGAGGGCTCTCGAAGAGATCTGAGGTAACCTGTTCAGGCATAGTGGCCGTGGCTCTCACACCAAATCGCGTCCACTTTCGTCTCAGGGGTTTGTCTGATCTACGATGTCCCACCGCTAGCTCCTGCGGCCCCTAGTCAACTCTGTTACGCCAGGCCCTGGAGTCATTGTTTGAAGTGTCTGTCGCGACCACTCACAGGCCCATCTTGGACGTTAGAAGGTGCCAAGGCCGAACTGCCAAGTCTCGCGAACTAACAAGTCTGGCATCCCTCCGCTAGGGTGAGACGAGTGGGAGAAAGCAGGGACCTCTTTGAGCATACTGCGAATTGCAGAGAAAGGTTGCCGTTTGTCCATCTGCTGGACAATTGTGTATGTCTGCAAGTCAGCACCCACCCCAGAGAGCGAAAAGTATCCGTAGGAATGCCAATAACGCGTGAGTTGTGTGTCCCGTGTGCCAAATTTGGATTTTGGCTCAGCAGCCGCACCAGGCGGGAGGATGCTCGACAGGGTCTTCCCAAGACACTGCACTGACAAGGGATGTCAAAATGGGTTTCTTTAGGGAAGAAAACGTGCGAACCATGCTCCTTTCGAGACACCGTAGTTCCCCATCGTCGTTGGCTGGTCCCCCTCCCTTGGCGCGGTGACAGCTGGGACAGGCCATCGGCTGGTTCGTCTTCTCTCTCGCTCTTGGTTTTGGTCGATCTATTCCCATTCTCGTTTTCAATCTCTATTCTTGTCACATCAATTCTCTTCTTTCATTGCCTCTTCTTTTCTTTACGCTAATACTTTCCCTTCGTCCTCAATCGTAGTCTGCCTCGACGGTGGAGTCTGCTTCAATTCTACTCTTCCCACCTCTTGGAAGCTCTTGGTAGCCAAGGCGTGTTTTGCATTGCGTTGCGTCTGCCGTTTGAAAGGCAACCTTTCCTTCACGACCTCCCGGTGGGATCTTCAATACCATTCAACCATCGATCGCTTGCTGGATCAACTTTACTTTTCGACTTCTCTTTATTTTTTCTTCTCCATTGTCTTTTCCAGCCAGTTGGTTTCTCATCTGTACGCTCTTTGACCAACAATCGATTAGCTCTCACCGAAAGACATCTGAGACCGACTTTCGAATACACTGTCACCAACACGAGACATCCACCACCCTTCCCCAACTCGATCAAGCGCCATTCCATCCAGATAGTTCCCATGTGGCGACGACCGCGATAGCACGCATCACCTTTGCCAACGCCAGAAATGGCGCTTCTCTCTTCCGCCCTTTTGGCTCTTTCATTAGTCACTGGAACACAAGCGTGGCCCCAGCTACCAACCGACGATGGCGATCTCAGTATTCTCATGACACTCCCCGTCATCCCATATAGCGCCACACAACAGCACGATGTCGAAGTTGCGCCGCGAGGGCTCTCCCTCCCCGCAGATGAGGGCGATGAAGTCAGTATGATGATGACGCTGCCGGTGACTTCAAAGTCAAAGAGAAAGAGACGGATACGGGCGCCTCGAAAGGTTCTACTCGACAATCTCCTCGGCGATGATTTGGAGGCTCTTCCTGCCGCCCCGGTAGTCAAGCCTCCGGTAGTGCGGGGCCTGCCCGTTGATGACAGTGTCGATATTGACAGCGCCTTTGTCACGCTGCCCGTCATTCACTCTACCAAGCGTGGTGTATTTAGCAGACAGGTCGAAGCGAAGCTCGCCAACCGTTCGGATGTGGCTTACTATGCCCAACGTGAGCAGCACCTCTCTTTGCTTTGACCGATGGGTACTTGGAATACACACTAACTCCAGCATAGTCAACATTGGAACACCCCCTCAGCCAGTCTACGCTCAGCTAGATACCGGCTCATTCGAGCTTTGGGTGAATCCAGAGTGCGGAGCCCTCGCTGCTTCTGACCAACGCTTCTGCGAAGCCGTCGGCTTCTATGACACGGCTCGATCTTCAACAGCCGTCTCTCTGCAGACCACCAAAACTCTCCGCTACGGCATCGGCGCCGCAAACATCACCTACGTCCGCGATAGTCTCGCCCTCGCCGGCTCCCGAACGACGATGCAGCAGGTCCAATTTGGCGTCGCCACCAGCTCCGAAGACCAGTTTGCAGGAATTCTAGGTATTGGCTACGGGAATGGCGTCAACACCCGTTATAAGAACCTTGTCGACGAGCTCGCTACCCAAGGTGTCACCCGCACCAAGGCCTTTAGCCTCGGGCTGGGCTCCAAAGACGAACAGGAAGGTGCGATTGTCTTTGGCGGCATCGACACCTCGAAGTTCTCCGGGCCACTGGCACGCCTCCCGATTCTCCCGGCAGACCAGGCCCCTGACGGCGTTGCCCGGTACTGGGTAAACATGAACTCACTTAGTCTCACTCCGCCGAGTCGCCGCGTTCGCATGTACCAAAACAGCTCGATGCCGGTCTTCTTAGACAGTGGCGCTACTCTCACACTGCTACCCGAAGAGCTTGCTGTGCAGGTTGCTACCGACTTTGGCTCACCTGGTCTGGACGCCAACGGATTCTATCCCGTCTCGTGTACTCTTGTCGATCTCAACGGCACCGTCGACTTCGACTTTGATGGGATGAAGATCAAGGTTCCTTATAAGGAAATGATTCGTGAGCTGCGCACTAGCCCGCCGACGTGCTACCTGGGTATTGTCCCCAACGCGGATTTCACGTTGCTGGGCGATACCTTCTTACGCTCAGCTTATGGTAAGTCGAGGCTACACTATCCTCAATAACGAGCTGCCGTACTAACCAACATCCACAGCCGTCTTCGACCTAGACACCAACGCCGCTTACTTAGCGCAGTATGTCAACTGCGGCACCAGGACGATGCCCATCAGCCGGCCAGAAGATATTGCGGCTATCCGAGGATTGTGCCCTGCCTCCGCCGGATCTATCGCTGTTCCCGCACCACCAGCGACCAACGGTACCACTACCTCACCAGGGACGGGGACGGGCTCCGGTTCAGGATCTGGCTCGGGTACCGGATCAACCTTGCCCACAAGTCCTGCTCCTGAGATATCTGGCGTTCCGGCGTCTGATACGATCTCATCAACCTCGACATCAGCACCAAGTACTCTTGCAATTATCTTGGGTATCGGCTTAGCGGTCATTATGATGTGAAAAGTGGATAGTCGAATGAGTTATTGTTATGTACATATGTACATGTGGAAACCCTTTTTATGAGCATCTTGAGCGGGCATCGTGTGACTTAATGGCGTTTGGAACAGCGGAACGGTCAAATCTTTGATCCAAGCATTATGTTGTTGGGGAGGACTTTTCTTCACTCGGCGCATCGGATAAGCAGTGAGCATTGTTAAAAGTCGAGGTTTGAGACAGACCTTAATGTGATATGCCACATAAGATGGCTTTCGAACTAACAGCTAGCCCTGATGCGTGAAGTGAACTGAATCAGTACCTCGCCAGTGTGATCTCTACTTTAGCGTTATGACCTTATCCCTTGCACTATTCAAAACAGCCATATCAATGAATGTTGCCAGCCCGACTCGACGGTATACTCCACCGCATGCGTCATCTTCAACCACCATGAGCGCGATGAGCAGCTCAAGGTCTCCCAGCATCGTTTTCCCTAGGATAAGGTATTCAGTCTCTCTATCCTCGATCTCAAGCGAGACTTCGGCTAATTCAGGATATTCTGTTATCCATTCTTCGTCCTCGTCAAGCCTTGACTGGTCCATATCGTCAAGTGTGAGAATAGGACACGACAAGACCATATTATGCGGTGAGGTACGTTCCTCCAAGAGAGTCATACTCCGGATCTTGGCATACTCCGTTGTGAATAAGCCAGTGTAACGGACCCGCCCGTTCAGAGAAGCCCATGACCAGCTGGGTGCCCGGGCCGACCTCACGTCTTCCGCATCGCCGTCTTCCTCACAATCTTTCTTCGACCAGGTCAGCTGCTCGATGAACCATTTTTTCCACAATCCAAAGCTGTTGGTGTCCCGCCATAGACTTTGAAGCTCCAGGGTGATACCCTTCAAGGCATCCAGCCTGTCACCAGGGTCACTCAACAATCGACGCGGGTACTGTTCGACTACTGTCATCCAGATGTACCTCTTCTCCTCCTCTTGGCCCCCGAAATTTGATCCTGCCTCATCATTAAACGCCAACCAGGGCAGACTTTCGAGCGGTTGCAAGTACTCTAAGCCTTCGCCTGTGACTCCCCGTAGCTCGGTCTCTTGACACTGCCATAAGAGCTCATATTCAGAGAAGAAGAGTATCCTAGACGACAGCATGAACTCTTGGAGGACCCACCCACGCGTGTCAATAGCATGCCTAGGTATATGCGTACCGGTTCGAAGGTAAACAGTTCCTAGTCCACCGCTAGACATGGGAATTCGAAACTCTTCTTCGGGTAAGTACGTCCTGCTTGTGGCAAGAAACCCATCCCGGGCTCGGGCCGCAGTCCCGGCCGCAATCATGACAGCCGCATTCTTGTAGATCAGAGCCATGTCGCCAATCTCATTCGCCTTGTCTTGAGCACAATCCTGGATAATGCAGTATGCATCAACCCAAAGATACCTGAAACCTAGCTTTCGAGTGGCAACTACCGCG